GTTGGTAATTGAAATTCAACAGCAATGAAGAAGCTCGAACTGTATACTTGATGAATAGTTACTTGTGAGCTCCATAATAATAATAATCCCCCACTGATACCTCTGGGATCCACCACAACCATCCTGTCTTCAAAACCTAACTTTCTACTAACTGATTTCACGTAGCCATTAGTTTTTTTCGTTTCAGACAAGAAAATGAAGTGTGGGTGGTGAGACCTTATTGTATCTCAGATTTGGGAAACTGTAGAGGGCCCACCCAGCCCTCTACAGTTCCACACCGCAGCTAACATTGATCATTTGGGTGCCATTCCAGGCTGGCCACCCCCACCTTTGAAGAAGAACTCAATTTCTGCTTTTTAGAGTTACCTGAAGTGAGATCTTGTCCTGCTGTGTGTTCTTGCTGAGTTTTGCCTTTAGCTATGTCTCTGTTTCTCTTACCAATGGCATGTGGAATGATCATTTCAGTGCTGCTGTCCATTCTTGTCAATCTGCTAGTTTTTGGACCAATCATTTTTCATGTTTTGGGTGGNTGTAGTGTGCTCTGTCTAGGGTAAAAATTGCATTTCCTGGTGAAGGATCAAAGCAGTGGAATTGGGACTTGGTTCCACTTTCATGTCTCTGTCCATGCCTTCTGTTTGTGGTTTGGAATGTCCATCTTTGACTGCAATCTGACTTCTCTCTAGTTGAATGGGGGATGAGGTGGAGCTAGTGGATTGCATAGTTGATGGTGAGTGCTGTTGGTGAAGCACCAGCTGGTGGCTGACTTGTTGTCTTGTTGTAGAGTGATGAAGAGATGTGTCCTGTCGAGCTGTTGGAGTGTGCTCTGAATAAGGTGGACTTCTTGAGCCTGAGTTACACACTCCAATCCAATGTTGTCCCTCTGTTGCCCGTAACCATTCACCAAACTGACCTTCTTTAACAGAATTGGAGCGTATATCATTCAATCTGTGTTGACAGTCCCTGTCAAGATGGCCAATTATGCCGCAATAATGACATAAATTAACTAACTTTTCGTATCTGAAACTGACTTGCACTACCTGGTCCCCTAACCTGATATTAGCACATCGTAAGAGAGGTTCTTGAATGTTTATAGAAACTAGCGTCCGAAGCATTTTACCACCATGACTCCCAGCACTGACTACAGTGACATTCCTTAGCTCATCAAAATAGTTTCCCTATCTTTAATCCCANTGTAGTGTGCTCTGTCTAGGGTAAAAATTGCATTTCCTGGTGAAGGATCAAAGCAGTGGAATTGGGACTTGGTTCCACTTTCATGTCTTTGTCCATGCCTTCTGTTTGTGGTTTGGAATGTCCATCTTTGACTGCAATCTGACTTCTCTCTAGTTGAATGGGGGATGAGGTGGAGCCAGTGGATTGCATAGTTGATGGTGAGTGCTGTTGGTGAAGCACCAGCTGGTGGCTGACTTGCTGTCTTGTTGTAGAGTGATGAAGAGATGTGTCCTGTCGAGCTGTTGGAGTGTGCTCTGAATGAGGTGGACTTCTTGAGCCTGAGTTACACACTCCAATCCAATGTTGTCCCTCTGTTGCCCGTAACCATTCACCAAACTGACCTTCTTTAACAGAATTGGAGCGTATATCATTCAATCTGTGTTGACAGTCCCTGTCAAGATGGCCAATTATGCCGCAATAATGACATAAATTAACTAACTTTTCGTATCTGAAACTGACTTGCACTACCTGGTCCCCTAACCTGATATTAGCACATCGTAAGAGAGGTTCTTGAATGTTTATAGAAACTAGCATCCGAAGCATTTTACCACCATGACTCCCAGCACTGACTACAGTGACATTCCTTAGCTCATCAAAATAGTTTCCCTATCTTTAATCCCA